GACTGAAGAACAAAAAACGACAGCAACTTGTCTGTTCCCCTTCCCCTAATTCCCCAGCACTGTTCCCATCCCCCCAATTACCCAATAAAAATCTTTTAAAAAAATAAAAATAAATAAATAAAAATAAAAAGACAAATCAAGCAATTATCCAGCCTTTTCTATATAAATTGAATCACAAATTTTCTATATAAATTGGGAACAAAATGGTTCATAATGGACCGTGTCTCTTTATAGAAGTATGCCAAATAATAAATGAAGGAGGAATGATATAATACTATCATAATTTCAATCCATAATTCATCAATAGCTAACATTGCTCAAAATAAAAACAACCAGGCATTATGTACCTCCTCCTGGAAGAACCTAGCAAACTATTTGTTGCCCTCCCCCCCATATATAACCTGAATCTGATCAAGACTTTAAATCAAACTAATAATTTACAGTAAACACAGAGAACAGAGGAACATGTTAGACAACTTCATGAGGATTTAATTAGCAAAATCCAAAACATGGAAAAACAACTTTGTTTCTTCAATAAATAAATTGTAAGAGAGGAAAAAAAGAGATAAAAGGAGAAAGCAAATTAAAAAAAAAGCTGAGACAAATTAAACAATCATAAAGTAGAACTTTATTTAAATCCTGGTTCAAACAAATACGTTGTAAAAAATATATGAGCTAGGGCCGGCTGAGTGGCGCGTTGGTTAAGAGTTGGCTTGGGACGCCAGCTCTGAGCAGCAGGGCCCTGGTTCAGACCCCACATGCGGGCTAGTGATGCTGCACCCTCTACAGCTAAGATAATGAACAACAGCTCAACCTGGAGCTGGGCTGCTGTGAGCCGCCGTGAGAGGCTGTCCAATGGCCAGTGAGCGACTGCCTCATCCAGGAAGAGCATAATGATAATGATAATACCAACATGGGCCAGTGAAGCGATGTCCTCCACAACTAGACAGAAGAACAAAAAGGACAGCAACTTGTCTGTTCCCCTCCCCCAATTCCCCAATAAAATCTTTAAAAAAAAATGAGCTAATTGGAAATTTGGAATAGTACAATATTTGATACTAAATATTTGTGTGGGATGGTTGGTGTAGTCATGACATTTTGGTTATTTTTTTTAAAGATTTTATTGGGGAATTAGGGGAGGGGAACAACGCTGGGGAATGGGGGGAGGGGAACAGACAAGTTGCTGTCCTTTTGTTCTTCAGTCTAGTTGTGGAGGACATCGCTTCACTGACCCATGTTGGTATTATCATTGTGCTCTTCCCTGGTGAGGCAGATCGGTCACCAGCCATTGGACGGCCGCTCACGGCGGCTCTTGGCAGCTCACACCGGCTGCCGGCGGCTCACACTGGCTGCCAGTCACACACGGTAGCTCATGGCAGCCCACTGCAGCAGGGACTGCAGCCTACGCTGTCGCCAGCGACTCATGGCAGCCCAGCTCCAGGTCGAGCTGTTGTTCAGCATCTTAGCTGTAGAAGGCAGTGTCACTGGCTCTCATGTGGGATCCGAACCGGGGCCCTGCTGCTCAGATCTGGCATCCCAAGCCAGCTCTTAACCAACGTGCCACTCGGCCGGCCCTGGTTATGATTTTTTAAAGAGACCTTATCTTTTACAGATATATACTGTAGTACTTATGGATGAAATTACATAATGTCTGGGATTTGCTTCAAAATAACAAGGGAAGGGGAAAAGTGGGTGGAGTATATGTGAAACAAAATTAGCTGTGAGTTCATAAATAGTGAATTTGGAGATGGGTATGGGAAGGCTCATTATATTATTCTCTTGCCTTCTGCATATGTTTAAAATTTTCCATAAAAGAAAGTTTTGCTAAAAATCTACTTCATGGATTTGTAGTATTAAATAAGACAATGTACAAAGAGTGCTTATCACTATGGTTGACAGATGGTTAGTTCTCAAACACTTTTTAATTTTTGTATTCTATTTCAATTAATTACATCTAAAAGAACATTATTTAGACCAAGATCCATGGCCCATCATGACTTTATCCACCTGGTTGAAATTTATTGAAACTTCAAGTTTAGAATTAGGAAATGCCAGCCTTCAGAGTCCCAAATCCATCATGTGACAGTAGAGTCAATAATCCCAAATGCTTCCATACCACTTCTGGTAAGTATGACGGCTTTCTACTCACCTTGTAGAAATATTTGAGATCATTCATTTATTCATTATTTTTCATTAATTTATCATGTGCCAGATATTAGGTGCTGGGGATACAAATATTAATACAGTGGACCTTTGATTGAATGCATCACTAGATCAACATTCTTGAGTGCAAAATGAATTCAAGAAACAGTGCTCAGCATCTGTTATTGACACATAACTCAGTAATCATTAACTCCCTTCCTAAAAGACCAGCTCTACTGGACATATAAAAAGAAGTAGAAATGGTATTTATCCTTACATAGTTTAAAAACTGACAGAGCATATGAGACAAGAACCCAAATAACTAAGAACAGGAGGCCAAATGTGATCAGAGCTTCCAAAGGATTCAGGTACCAAGGTGAAGTATGTTTGGGGAGTGTCGTCAGGTTTGGCTGCAGCAATTAACAAGTACTGTATTTTGGTAGAACTCTGAAGGTTAGATTTAGGCATCTGAATTGCCTTAGGCAGCAACAGAGAGTGGCTTACTGTTACTGAGAAGATGACATGTTCAGGACTGTGATTTGGGAAAATGTCTCTTGTGGCAAGTGGCAGAGCCCAGAGACACTCATGGAAGATCAATTCAAGCCTGAACTACATCTCCAAGCTCATAACACACTACTGTGTACATGTGAACAAGCTTAATGACTAACAGATTTACAGCACCTGAGATGGACTTCAGCTTTTGGAGATCCAGGTTCAGCGTAAATAAAGCCTTACTTTCTCAGCACGTATAGTCCGGGCCTGAACTACCTCTGAGAAAACTATGTGCCACAGCCTAGAGCAAGGCTTAGCAAACTTTCTCCATAAAGAGTCAGATAGTAAATGTTTCAAGCTTTGCAGGCCATAATGGTCTGTTGCAAGTATTCAACTTGCTATAGCAACCAATGGCAATATATAAACAAAGGAGCTCAGAGAGACCTAAGATGGTGAAGTAGATAAACACTGAGCCTGTTTCCTTCTGTGAACACATTAAAATTACAACTAAATTACAGAACAATCAACCTGGAGAACCATCTGAAGTCTGGCTGAACAGAAGTTTTATAGCTAAAGATATAAAGAAGAAGCCATGTTGAGACTGGTAGGAGGGGCAGAGATGTGAAATGGGCTGGTCCCAAACCTCCGTGTGGCAGATGAAAATTGGGAGGGATACCTCGGCATGGAGGTTCCTCCTGGACGAGTGAAGGAGCCCAGCCCCACTCCAGGTTCCCCAACCTGGAGTATTGGTGCCAGGAAAAGGAGCCCCCACAACATCTGCCTATGAAATACAGTGGGGATTCCAACAATCTAGGTGGGACAGAAGGCTGTGGGAAACCCAGACATCGTCTTAAAGAACCAATACACAGACTCTCTCACTCACAGACACTCACCTTGGGCTCCAGTGGAGGGACAGTGACTCGAGGGGCATCAAAGGCATACAGGGAACAGACTGAGTGTGTGGCTTCAAGGCCAGGGTTGGAGGGCAGTCCCATTTTCTCTGTGAAGCATCCTCCTCCCATGCAGCTGGCAGGTGGACACCATCTTTAATGTGTTAGGCCCGCCCCTATGCTTACAGTCAAATCTAAATCTGATTGGTCTGGTAAGCTCTGGGGCTCCACCCTGCTGACTTCCTTTGCTGGAATCCCACCCCACCCAATACCCCCAAGACTGGAGGCACTTTCTCCGCAACCAACATAGCACTCTTTCTTGGAAAACTATCAGAGTCCCCAGGACCCAGGTGGGCAGTGACTGGCTTTGGTATGCTCCGAGATGTTTGCTGAGTAGCTCCAGGCTCAGCTCTGGCACCAAACCAGAATCTACATTAACCTGGTGACCACAACTCTTCCCACTCTAATGACTCCCTGAGACTCTGCCTCACCTAACTTGCATACTGCACGAGACTTTATCAGTGGCTGAACCTTAAGAGAGCTGGCAGGTGGCAGCAGGACTTGGAGTGTACTGGCTTTTTGCAGAGCTACCCTAGGCCCAGGTACTGGTGGTAGCCATCTTGGTTTGCAGCGTGGCCTCTCCCATGTGCCTCCAGATTTAGCACAGGCAGCAAAAAACCATGGATCACTTCGGAGCTCCTACCAGGTAGTCCCTGGCTGGTCAAAGGCAGTGGATGACCTGGGCCTGCAAACAGAAACAGACTCATTGATACAGAGAACATTTTGATGGTTGCTAGATGGGAGAGGGGGTTGGGAGCATGGGTGAAAAAAGGGATTAAGAAGTACAAATTGGAATGTAGGATATAGTATGAGGAATATAGTCAGAATTTTGTAATAACGATGTATGGTGTCAGGTGTGTACTAGATTTGTTGGGGTGATAGATGGGAGGGGGTGGGGGCAGGTGAAAAAGGTGACGGGATTAAGAATTATAAATTGGTAACAACAGAATAGTCATGGGGATGTAAAGTAAAGCATAGGGAGTATAGTCAATGAAATGGTAAAAATGTATAGTGCCAGGTGAGTACTAGACTAGTTAGGGGAATCACTTATTAAATTATATAAATATGTAACCACTATGCTGTACACCTGAAATGAATATAAAATAATATTGAACATCAACTGTAATTTAAAAATTAAATGGGGGGGAGGAAGGTGATGGGCAATAAATGGTCCCTATTTCCAGGTATAAAACAAGTCATGGGGAGGTAATGTGAGCATGGAGAATATAGTCAATAATATTGTGATACTATAGTATGGTGTCAGAGGGTAGTTGAACTTCTCATGGTGATTACTTCTTTAGGTATATAAATGTTGAACAACTATGCTGTACCCCCTGAAACTCATATAATATTGTATGTTAGCTATATTTCAAATAAAAAATCTTTTTTAAAAAAATAAAGGAGCTTGACTATGTTCTAATAATATAGGACTTGGCCCTCAGGCCATAGTCTACCTACTCCCGGCCTAAAGTTTAGAGCCTCTTCCAAGAGCCCAAGTGACCAATCAGACACAGGCCAGCTCCAACTTCCTCCAGAAACACAAGCCTTATGTGTCAAAGACTAAGAAGATTCCTTCAAAAGTACAATCCCTCCAGGCCTGGGTCCATCCCCACACTGGAACACTGGTGGGATTAAGTACCTGCCTAACCCTGCAGACGCTAAACCCATCGTGCCCACACTGCTGCTATCCTTGCTTACCACTCAAGAGGAAGCCCCTCCAGGCATCTACTCTTGCCCACACTCGACACCTTTGCTGTCTCCTCTACCTACGAGTGATGCTCACCTCCTACTCAGTTCACATGTCAGTGTACCTCCTCAGAGGTTTTCCCTGGTCCTCCAACAACAGAGAGAGAAGCTCCTCTCTCAGCACTTGCTATTACATTCTCCTCGTTTCCATTCTTCCAGTACTATTACTACCTGAAATTGTCTTAGTTATTGTATGTCTCCTCCCACTAAAATGTAAGTTCCATGAGATTGGGAAACTTGTGTCTCACTCGCTACTGTTTTTCTGGCCTAGTGTAGGTACCCAGTACATACTTATTCAATAAAATGAATGAATAAGCTCCCTCTGACCTAACCCTCTGCCTCCATCCACCCCTCTAAAACCTCTCCATGAGGCTCTTTGAAAAGGCTTCCACATCACAAACTTGCCTCTATCCTCAATGCTTCATTGAATGCCCTTTTCACCTCCTTTCCTTGAAGGAAACCCGAGGACTTGGTTTCTCCTGTGTGCTCTGACTGGAATGCTGCTGCTGGCTTTCTCCTGTCCTACACACCTCAGGGTCAGGCACTGCATCCCCATCACTTCCAGTCTTGTTGAAACACTTGCTCCCCAGCCCCAGCCCCAGCCCCACTGCCGCCCACTCCTCACTGGGCAAGTCTCTGCTCATTCAGTTGAGCCTTGATGCCATTGCTTTGGGAAACCTTCCTCAGTCTCCAAGTCCAGGCTCTGCCCTCTTCGGGAAGATTCTCCTGGTTTCCTGTTCTTCACTTTTGAGAGCATTTCCCACACTCTATTGCAACTGATAACTTCGTTATCTGTCTCTTCCTTCATCCCCACCCCCCTGCACTAGGCCATAAGCTCTGTAGGGGAAGGGACTTGTCACAGTACCTGCACACAATAGGCTATCAGTAAATATGTATTAAATGAAAGCATTCATAGACTGGAGAGACTAAAAACGAGACACTGTGTGATCCAACAGGAAACCACTATCACAGAACCAGTGAGAATAGTAAGGATCTAGACTGGGGAGTATGAAATGGAGCACTGGACACGATGCCCCATATTTGTCAATGACTCGTAATCTCACTCCTCAGGTCTCTCCTCTTCCCCTCTGTTCTCCATCTCATGAGCTGCCACCAGCACTCACCCCAGCTATTGAAGCCAGAACCCTGAGGAACCTCTGGTCTCACATCACTCCATTTAATCAGAGACCAAAACCTGTGATTTTAACCTCATGTCCAGCTCCTCCTCTCATCCCCACTGCTACCATTGCAGTTCAGACCACCATCACCACTCATTCTACCTGCTTCAAGTAAATCTGAACTGGCCATCAGCCTTCAGGTCTGCCCTTCTGACATCCCTGCTGTATCCATCCTCCACACAGCTGGAAGAGCAAACTTTTTACAAGTGTAAAGTGTCGTTCTTCTAATTAAACCCCTATGATGGCCTCCCATTTCCTTCCTGGTTCTAGTCCAAGCTCCTCAGCATGGAAACCAAGAACAGCCCTCCAAGATCCACTACCTCCCGAGTCTCTTTTGCCCCCTCTCTAGCACCCTTTGCCATGGAGTGTCATGCTCACCCTGGTTCTCCTGGCTGTGCACACTGCAAGAAAAAACTATCATTTTTCAAGACCTAGTTCAAGCATCTCCTCCTATGAGGCTTTTTGATGCCCCTCCTCCCAACCTCGCAGTCCCCTGAAGAGCCTTCTGCCATAGCACCTCAACCCACTGTTTGACATTTTGTGTTTCCATGGCTGTCTCACTCTTTTAGGTCATGGGCTCCTCCAGGGCTAGGACCCATATCTCAGTCAGTGTTGCATTCCCAGTGCCCAGCAGGGAGCCTGGCACATAGTGGGCCCTCAGTAACCACTTAAAAAAATGACTGGAATCCTGGACAGTGCTGAGGTTTACCTGTGTGGTGGAGGAAATGATTTGCTGCCCTCTCCTGGCCACAAGTGTCATTGTCCTAACCACAGACACCTCCCCACCTCTCCCCTCCCCACCCTCTGCAAAAAAAAAAGGGGGGGGGGGAGGGAGGGGAAGTGGTGGAAGGGGAAGCAGAAAAAGGAGATGATGAAGAATGAGGGAACTGATACGCTGTCTAAAGAGACAAATTGGGTTGAGGTGTTGGTGGGACACCTTTGTCAGCTCCCACACACGTCCATGCAAGCTAGTCAGTGCTTCAACAGGGTGGCACATCTGTAGAGCTAGTCTTTCCTCCCCCTCTAAACTGTAAACTCTTTGGATTCTATCTTATTTCTCATTCTATCCTACAGTCATTTTCGGTGTTACTATGGGTTGTTGGAAAAGTCATGACGTATTTTTTCTATGTTTTACATTGCAAAAATGCATCATGACTTTTCCAACAACTGCTGCTTTCATTTATTTTAGTAGGTGATCACTAATTTTCCCCTCCATTGTAAAACATTTTTGTTCTTGTGTGTAAAAAGACTAAATTGACCACTAGCTTTTCCTGATTTTAACTCTGCTTCCTACCAATAGGAGGTTCTCTGATGTGCTGGGTTACTCAGGTTTCTGCCAAAATCCAAATGCCGGTTAGGATTCCTTTACTCCCACCCCTTCCCACGGCTTCAGCAAGTCAGGTGACATGCGCCCCCTTCTGTCGATGAGTAGCATTACCTCATCTCCCCTCCGGGCTGCAGGTCGAATTGCCAGTATTTTGACATGCGGAAAATTGTCTAACACCTAATATGGGAAATGGGTTTGGGGAAGGGGCTTGGGAGTGGAGGCAGAGGCTTGTGAGTGACGTGCACTGCGTTAAAGACTCAGAGCAACTAAGATAGCCATCTGCAGAGAAAAATCACCTATGATTCACATTTGAGTCATTGTTTATCCCACAGGGTATTTGGTAAACATCTGATGTCTTGAAAGTTTGAGAGGGGAGCCAACGAAAAAAGCAAAAGGGACTAGGGACCAGAAGCCTATCTTTGTATAGTGTAGAAAATTAGTGGGGCCGGCCGAGTGGCTCAGTTGGTTAAGAGTGCAAGCTCCAGGCCGGCCAAGTGGCTCATCTGGTTAAGAGCTCGCTTGGGAGCACCAGCTCTAAGCAGCAGGGCTACGGTTCGGATCCCACATTGAGGGCCAGTGACGCTCGCCCTCTACAGCTAAGATGATGAATAACAGCTCAACCTTGAGCTGGGCTGCTGTGAGTCGCCGGCCACATTGTAGGCTGCACCGGGGCTGTAGTGGGCTGCCATGAGCTACATGAGTGGCTGGCAGCCAGCGTGAGCAGCCAGCAGCCGGTGTGAGCTGCCAGGAGCCGCTGTGAGTGGCCAACCAATGACCGACGACTGATTGCCTCACCTGGGAAGAGCACAATGATCATACCAACATGGGCCAGTGAAGCGACGTCCTCCACAACCAGACTGAAGAACAAAAACAGCAATTTGTCTACCTGTCTGTTCCCCTTCCCCGATTCCCCAATAAAATCTTTAAAAAAAAAAAAGCGCGAGCTCTGAACAACAGGGTTGCTGGTTCGATTCCCACATAGACTAGTAAGCTGCATCTGAGCTGAGCTGCCGCTGAGCTGGTGAAAGCATGTGCTCTTAGCAGCAAGGTTGCTGGTTCGACTCCCGCATGGGATGGTGGGTTGCACCCACCGCAACTAAGATTGAACACGACACCTTAAGCTGAGCAGCTGTGAGCTGCCGATGGGGTCAGGATGGCTCAGTGTGCAACAAGGTTAGTGGTTCGACTCCTGCATTGGATGGTGGGCTGTGCCCCCCCACACACACACACACACA